TGCGTGATGAGCTCCGCGTCGGAATTACTGGCGGGGTGAGAGCTGAAGATACTACACTCTATAATGGTCTGCAAATGTAAACATTGCGCTAATACTGATTGTCTATCAGCTAATACTGTATTAACTGATTAATGCCACATTACCATATTACGGTTCTCTGAAGAAGGACATTGTAAACCTTTATTTACACTAATGACAGCAAAGTCTGGGACAAAGAACAGTCTTAAATCTGCTTTGCAAAGGTGTTTCAAGCTATGTGGTGCTGCTCTGGCTGGGCTTTAGCTCCCCTCTCAGCCACTGTCACTTAACTGGTATTGAACAAATGTCCCTGCCGAGTTATCTATGGGAGAAGGGCAACAATTTTGTGCCACGGACTGTGCAGGGAAAGCCCTGAGCTCCCCTCTCTGCTGAGTCTCTGCTGACGCAGTTTCATAATCCTCACGCAGGAATGTTCACACTTCATCTGGGTACCTCTTCATGCTCTCCGGGCAAATGGTTGCGGGTTTTGGCTCACAGTAGTGGAAATTGGTTGTATATGGGTCACTGTGACCTGCTAGTGCTTTACAGGTGCTGTGTTTTTCTCTGGCTATTACCTTTGGCTGTTTTCTGAGTAATTTAGTTTCTTTCTCATGTAGAAATATGTGTGAAGAGTAGGTTTTGCTCCTTATCGTTCATAAGAGTAAGCTGGCTGTTTATTGGTGTCTAGTAGAAGACAAATTGATAATTCCTGAGGTCTAATGACAGGAGCCTGTGGGCATATAAAAAAGTTCAGTTTGCTTTTGCTGAATTCACTGACCACAAGAAATCAAACCTAACACTATAATGCCCACGATCGGTTCTTTTTCTGTTGGAAATACCTGCTTTCCTCCTAGGAGCCGTGGGCTGGCAGTTGTTTTTGTGTTTCCTCTTTCCACTCCCCCACAGCGAGAATTCTTGCAGTGTTTTCCATAGAAGTTAGGTTTAGGATTTGCAGCACTGCGCACCCTGCCCACTGAACCCCAAGCTTACGTGGTGCATATGAACTAAAACCAGGACGAGGGAAGTGCAGTGGGCTCAGTTCCATCTCAACAGATGGAGTGAGTGTGTGCTGCCAAGAGAGCATGTCACACATGTCTGTTAGGGCAGGACCCCCTGCCCAGGTCATCTAAACTGCTGTCTGTCCTGATTTTTCATGTCTGTGGTTTAGGGATGTGGCACTGCCTCATCATTTCGAGGCTGGAATAAATTCTGAAAATAAAATACAAGCATTGTGGCTAGCAGTGGAGATAATGGAATTATTTAAATCAGTGAAAAAGGTAGTGGAATGTACAAAAATAGTTTCTGGGGATCTCCAGATGGAGACTGATACTAAGAGGGCTACAAAATAGTCTAAACCAAAATTTCCTGCTGTGACATCTGTCCTGTGCACACTGGTGTCTGTGAACAGTGCCACTCCATGGCAGTTTCCGCTCTGGGAGAAAGCTGAAGTCAGCGTCGAGAGCACAGGGCTCCTGTTCTTGGTCATAGTACTGGCTTGGTAAGGTATAACCCGGCAACTGCTTCTGTATCCATATGAGGGAGGCATCTGTTTTTGTATTTTGGTGTGGTCCTCTGTAAAAATAATGTCTTTTTACTCTGCTTGTATCAAGGCCCCCGGAATAACAGGCTTCTACTTGGTTTACTGTAATTTCCATACCTGTGGCAGTTTGGAGCTGCCTGTAATGGCTTACCAATAAAATGCAGCCACAGTGTGGCTCAGGAGATCGCAGCTGAAAGACGTGGCCCTCGAAGTTCCTGCTTCAGGTGCTTTCTGGAGCAGAACTGTCTGAGACTTCTTACCGCAGCATGTCTCTTTGGTTGCTTTTGTGAAGCAGGTGGCTGGTTGCTGTCCCGGTCCCCATCACTGGCGTGTTTTAGAAGGGTTGTCTGGGCCAGGCACTTAGTTTGAAGCAGAGAGAGACAGCGTGGTCTGGAGGCAAGAAACGGATTGATCTCCCCTAGACATCAAGCATTGC